AGAGCAGGTTAACTACTGTAGTTGTTTGAAAGGCAGCTTAGTCCAGTTGACGGCTCAGTTTGAAGCTTCAGGTTTTGGTGTTGAACCTCCTAGAATCTCAGCTGCTGCAGATTGTCTGAAGATGCAGAGAAAAGTACAAACAGATAGTGTTAGAAAAATTGTGTTGATTTTCCTGAACCGACAGATCTCACTGTGACAGAACATTACTGAACCTGAAAATGACTTGAAGCATCACAATGTATGTAGAAATGTTTATTTTTATGTTGATCAAAGGTTTTACATTAAATGTGTTTCTGTGAAGGCTATTTTTGCAGTGGTGCTTTAAATAAATGCATAAAATCTTTATTTTCCTAAGTATGTGTTTATTAGCTCTCAATTGTGTCAAAATATCAATCTGGAAAGAAATTTACTGCTTGTGAAAATCTAAACCATCTGAATACATTTTACCATCTACATTAATCAACTTGAAATGAAGACGAACAGAAGCAGCAGGTTTGTCCTGGTTTGCAGACGAGGTATATATTTGTTTAAGGGCCGATGAAATGGGGTCCAGACGCAAACAGTTTAATCTGAAGATTCTGGAGGATGTGTGAATAGGTCTGTTACCATGAAAAAAAATTACTGTATGATAAGTTGTTCCAAAGTTCTCAACAAACAATAATATAGTTCTTTTGAGGCCATGTTTAAGTTATATAATGGCAATGATGAAATAATAATGCAAGAACACATTCTCAAAAGTCATTAGACTTTAAATTCTAATGAACATTTAACACTGGAACTGAAGACATTTTAATATACAGAATTTATTCAACTTTAAACAACTAATGAATTTTGAAGTCTTTTTAAACAAAATTGCTTTTCAAAATAAGGTCTAATCGAGACCAAAGTACCAAACTGAAGACTTTTATTATCCAGTTTTTGGTAGAGAGAAAAAAAAAGAGAAACAATAAATCATGCCAATGGAAATGATTGACTGTTTTAATTTATCATCCGATTAATCGATTATTCTGACAGGCCTATGTGTGAACATTAGACTAAATCCTTAAGTATGTTGAAAAGTCAACATAAATGAAGTACCTTTCAGTTTGTTCTGGTGAATAAAGTCTAGCAGCAGATGATGATCCTGCAGGTCCAGATCTACCTTTATTACTGCTGAAGCAACAAAATATGGTTTCAGTGATAATGACCAACATCCATAACTGCCATAATCTCCTGAAGATGCTTGCCGACTTCGGCATCACAAAACTTAATCAACCTGGGTTAAAGTTAAAACTGAAGACAGACGATCAAACTGTGCTGAGTGAGAGAATAAAAATTCAAGCTTAGCTCCCAACAGCTAACGTAGCATAGCTGACATAAACATTAGCTCCCGCTAACAGAAACATACGAGGAGGGCAGAGTATCAAAATACCAGACACATAAAACGTAATGTGAAATGATTTATAATTACTCCATGTCTCATTTTAATCGGAGAGCAAAGCCTGCAGGTTTAGCTCCTACTTACTTCAGAGGACAGACCACCGGGACGCTCCGTCTTGCTTCTGGATTTGCCTGGCTATTTTTCCGTCCAGCGAACCATTCCGCCACCTAGTGGTCCTTTTTCAGACCACCTAGTCTCCTGTACCGTTCAAAACGCACAATATGTCTGTAAATAATTTTAGGATATTATAAGGAAGTGCTGAGATATAACGTTTTCCACCGAACTAACGTATTTGCCACTTCGGCACAGTGAGAAACGTCACTGGATAAAAACACTAGACTCAGAGCAAAACCCAGATGTCCCAACCTTTACTAACATGTAAACGCATCATCTACACACAAATCTGGGAGTTTCCTCGAAGTGTGAAATGAGTCTCAAAAATAGTTGTGCACTCGTAACCGGATTTGTGTGTAAATGAAGTTTTGTGTGTGCGTACCAGGTGATTTGTGTGTACTTTTTCAACATGTATAGGCGTAGTAGAAGGTTTATTTTAGTTTTAAGTTTTTCAAATCGAGTATTACACACACAGATATTTTTACGCACGCACAAATCCTGTTACGCACGCACAAAACATTTTACACACGGACAAATCATTTTACACACACACAAATCTTTTTACACACGCACAGATATTTTGAGACTATTTTCACTCCATAATTTTCACTCCATAGTCAGGTGACAAAGACACTCGGTCTGTGAATCTTTCTCCATATACGACGTTACCGAAGCGATCCACTTTAATCACAACCTGCCCGTTAGTTTCCCACTGAACAAACTTCACATCCACACCCTGAGTTAAAGAGAAGCAGGGAAGTTTTCTTGGTTCACCTTCAGACGCGGAGATGTTGGAGATAAAGACAACCCTTAGCTCGATGATGCGCTCAATATTGTCTCCACAGATAAACTCATAATGTCCGTTGTCGTTGTAGTTGACATTCTTCAGGAAAATACCCGATGAGGAGATGTTCAGCTGTAAACTGTATTCTTCTACC